TCAGGTCCCTTCCGACCCTAGAAACTATGAAACTAAGGCAAAGTAGCTGCACAGGAGCAGGAGCCTTTCTGTCTGGTCCATGAAGCTGCCTGAGACTTGCAGGGGCTAAGGCAAGCAGCTGAGGAGGGGAAGAATTCCTGTCAGCTCCCTAGGGCTGCCCTGGGCTGGGAGATCCTGGGTTAGGGTGATAGGAAGCCACCCAAGGCAGGGGCTCCCTGGTGCCCCCATGCTGGGCTACATGGGCAAGCATGTTGCCCGGAGGCTTCTGCTCCCTCTCTCCTATGGCTGCCACTGAAGTAATCAGCAGCTGAGAAAGGGGAGGGGAGAGGGCTGCCAGGTCTGAAAAGTTCCTACCACAGGGGCATTCTCTCCTCCATGTGTTTTGTAGACCCAGGCAAGGGTTGCTGGGGGTCTGTTCCCATGCTGCCATGGCCCTATGGGCTGATGGACACAGGCAGGAAGCAGGCTAAGGAGAAAAGGGATGAGGTGGTCCATGCTCCACTGGAGCAGGCAGCATAGCCCAGGGCTGCAAAGCATCCTGGGATGCTGAGGGACTGTGACTTAACTTGAACCAGGAAGGGATCTGGGATAGAAGTTCCATAAACCAGTTTGACCTAAATCAGTTAAGTCTGATACTATGTCCAACTAAGTTTATAGTAAACTGGTTTTGGTAATTTTGAAAGTGGTTTATGTGCACTGAACTTCTGTTCTGTTGCAGGTTTAAACAAGTTTCTGATCACTTATGTGTTACTTCTGTCCCTAGCCTTCAAGATCTCTACAAACCGGATAGAATTTTTTTTTTCTAACAGATAAAATTCACATGAGGTATGTAGTCATAGTCTGTGGCTATATCTAATATCTACTTCTTCATACCCTGATGTGTCAGACGGGGTCACCCAGCTGATGGTTCAGATCTGGCCCACAACACCATGTCCCAGGATGTGTGGCAGGGAGGGGGCAGTGCCGGGCTCCAGGGCCCAATTCCAGTATACAGGGCTTGATCTGGCCCTCAAACTGGAGCTGTGCCACTTATCTGGACCACAGTGCCAAAAGGTTGAGAATCACTGTGTTACAGAGTATGGGCATTTACCTAGATGCCTTACCATTATGCTCACTAAGAAATTTGAAAGCTCTATAGGTCATAAAGAGCCAAATAAATTAGCTACTGTATAAGGTTCTGTTACCTAGGGTACAGATACATAATATGATAAGATGGAGCATACTGATCTCATTTCACTATAAAAGTACAGTGGGTGCACAAAAAACAGTCTCACTATGAAGTGTCTCTTTTACAATATAAAGTTGCAAAGCACAGCAAGGCGAGGTGAGACAAGTTACTTTAATTGGGGGTAGTTTATTACAGACTAAGGGTGAAGTTACATATTACACTTGGGCCACACAATCTGTGGAATGTGAAGTGGTGTTAAAGTTAAAAAATACTGTGAGCAGTCCCATGTTAAGAGTTAATACTCTTTACTGCCTGCACAAGTTCTGATTTGCCAGTAGAGGGCTGGAAACCAGGGGTGTGGCTAGAAACCAGGACAGTTAGGCTCTATCCCTGCTCTGGGGAGAAGGGGAGCTGGGAGCAGTATATCCTGGGATGATGAAAGACTGCAAATTGCTCATTTTATCGCTGTAGAGCAGACTGAAGTCACACACAAACTGGGTAGCACAGCTCAGTTAACCTTCATTTGGAAGTGGCATAACTTAGAGATGCTCTGAGGGTACTTAATATGAGTTAACAAACTTTAATGCACAAACCCTCATGTTTGAAGTGCCTGTATATATGAAATTACACCTAAGTGTAAAGCATAACATGTAACTACAACTGTGTTTGTTTTCCTAGAGAATTTCATTTGAGGGTACCTGTTCATTCAATGCAAACAAGCTTTAACCTGCCTCTCACACGTAGTGGTGAGGCTCTGTAATTGCATTCACAGCATGCAGCTGAGGAGAATTGGTCTTTTTTCAGCTAGTTACTAGGCATGTCTACACAAGACATTTACTGAGCAGTTGACTAATTAGCTGCATAATAAACATTGTGCATCTACATGTGTGCCCCTATTATGCTGGAGTAAACTAAAAAAGTCAGCAGCAGTGCACATGGCCTGACAAGCACCTATGTTCATAAAAAGCCATGAAGCCATTGACTTGGGAAATTGACAATCTAGAAGAATTAGGAATAGGCTTCTGCTTATGAAAAAGCATCTGAGTGGAAGTGTCTGTAGAGTTGGTACCCATGAAAAAATGGGACAGCCTTATTCATGGTCAGTAATTAGCAGGGGTGGAAAATTCTTTAGGTTATGTCTTACTTTATGTTTTCATATCCTGGTAGTAAGTGAATGATTAAGTAATTTCAGCAACAGAACACTGCTAAACACTGTGTGAATCAACAAAGACTCAGAAAAAAAATGGTGATGAGATGTCTGCAATAGCATGTCATGCCAGAAATAGATGCCCTCATAGGCACTCATTTACAAGCCTGCTAGATGTCTTCAGAATGGTATCTGTGCAGGGCATCTTTCAATAACAGAAATGTTCATTCTTTCATGTCTGAAAAGTTCTGACCAAATTGAAAATGTACTGAACTAATTGAAAAAGCAGAATACCTGATCCTAGTGTCTTAATTCTTGCACTTTCTAAGGCACATTTATATTAAGAGTTCATTGCTAAGTTTTGACTATCACACCGTTGTGCTTATCATTTTCTTACCTTTTTTCACTGTTTGTCCCTGGCTTTGTATTATGGAGAAAGAACAATGGGTTTAAGCTAAGCATTTGGAACATTTTAAGATGAAAAATTATGGTATCTTTTTAAGATGAAAAATTATGGTATACTGCCTAAGGTATTTATAGTGCCTAGTATTCAAAGAAATACAAAACTCTAGAACTCTTGGTTCAGAAATAATACCTTTTATTAGACCAACTAAGAAATTACAACAAAAAAAAAGTATTTTTCTGGAAGCTTTAAGGCACACACACCCTTCCTCAGGCTCAGGGAAAATTAAAGATGGTAAAATGTTCCTATAGGTAGGAAATAAACTTAATTCACAGTATTTGAAGATCATTTTGTTTTTGCTTTTTTTCAATCGTACCTCCTTTGTTTCCAGTGCTTCAGCTGGAACTGTTCACCTTAGCATTTTTGTCTGCATAGTAACACAGACACCAGTATTTGGGACAAAAAGTACATTGAATAAAACACAGAAAATAATTAAAA